TACTTTTTCTATGATAGTAACGGCCAAGACCACAGGGAGTAGGTGCCAATCTGACTGCTCCTATTGGCTGGCCAACTCACCACATTGATAAGAAAAAAGTTACAGACTAAATTTTGTAACCACGGCATACTGGCAAGGAATATGAAGTTAGAGGACCCAAAAGTAATTACTCTAGCACATTTGGGATTTATAACACTCCAAATATTTTACACTCGAGAAAATGTAATAGCGTGTTCATTTCTAAGCGAATTTTCCGACCAGACTTAATGAACTACCTGCATAAAAGAAAATATTATTTTTGTTATGTCTTCTCTTCCGTTCACCTCCAGCTAAAAATGACCACTCAGCTTTACGTCTTACACCACTACACGTCACTTCCGGCACAATTCTGACCAATGCTGATCTTCTCCGGTACCCTTTATTCGACCGGTCGATGAGAAGGATAAAGCGGTTGCTTTCTGGTGTTATTTCTATTAAGCCAAGAGAACGGGCGTGATGGAAGGCACCGACAGAGAGAATTGGATTTCGTTTCTGCTAGTAAAAATGATATTCTTGTAAAATGAGGGCACTTGAATCACCATCAGCGCGTTCTCAAAGGTGAAGTATGACGTGGTTAAGCATAGGACCTGGCTGACTATGGTTGGCTGACTTGTTAAGTCAAAGGTGATTGTGGAATACTTAAAGCCGCACCAACCTACGAGATTGTAAACGAGCAGGTAGAGATTCAAAGCATCTCGATTGCGACACATTGTTAAGAAGCGACGAACTTAACTTTGATTGATCTAATTGAAGGTGAGTAATAATTCATCTTACGCGATGCACATTTGTAGAATGCAACATTGAGGGTGTAATTTGTGATTTTAGTTCTAAAACGATCATCTCTTCCTCTTTGACAGGTTTAACGGGTCGCGATTGTCATGACCGCTTCCAACAGTCACCTGAAGTCCGCGGCACGGGTGCATAGCCGAGGAATAATGCTATTAGCGCTGACACTAACGGGTTTCTGTGTCCTGGTAACGGCTCTGCCTACTCCGGTCAAGAAAAATGACAGGTAAGTTTTTTATCTGCTTTCTAAAACGAATTTACTCGCTGGCTTTCGGATTTTAACAGTTAGTCGGACTCATAAAGACCACAAGACTGCGCAATTTGTAAGAGAATTGTATTTTCAAGATTATTCGACACTACATTTCCATGTCTATCCAGATCTGGATTTGATGGGTCATTCTTGATTTTTTTGTCCAATAAATACCGCAATTTGTCAAAAAAATATATTAATCGATTGATAATCCCAATCGGCCAAGGCGTAAGGCGTAAAGCGGTGCGTCACCCCTTGTGCCACAAATGTAAACAGATGGTCTTCTAAATCGACCAAAACAACACAATTACCGTCATTCAGTTTATGGCTTGTTTTATGCCATAAATAATCTCGAACCTTATTGTATTATAAGAACTCCATACGAGGGTTGATTGATAAGTAGTGAGCCTCGTGTGGAAAGGGTTAAGCAGGGATATCCCTTTTCAGCCCTTCTATTCCCTGACTATTTAAAGGTGTGTAGCCGAAGTTTGGTGTCATTTGGTTAGTTTATGTCGACGAGGCAGCGGAAAGCTCAGGCAAGGTGTACTGTTCATTAAGGGGAATGCCCCTGCTCACGAGTCTGTCATTGACATGGCTTCATTCAACGAGTGTGGCTTTGAACTGATAGAACATCCACCTTATTCGCCTGATCTTGCTCCCTCTGACTATTATCTATTTCCCAAATTTGAAAAAGGCCATTTCAGGTGCTCACTTTGTGTCAGATGATGACGTCATACGTGAAGTGAAGGGGTTTCTGAACGGCGAAGAAAAGGGCTTCTATAAACGTGGCATAGAGGCTCTCAAAACTCTCTGGCAAAAGTGTATAGATACTCAAGGAGACTATGTTGAAAAATAAAGAAAAATACTTGTAAAATATGTACCCCTTCTATATGAGGCTCACTACTTATCAATCAACCCTCGATACATCGTCTATCATCTTAAAAGTGTACAATTAGCATCAGATTGATTTACATCTATGTCGGATGGCTAAAGAATCGTTAATTATTTCAAAATTCAAAAACTTGCGTAAAACGCACTTTTGCTGCTTCTAGAACTCTGCCCGTCTTTTACTGGTTCATTTAACACGTTAGACATACTTGGACTCCCAACAACAGAACCTCGCACTACGTCCACATTCGCCTGCGATCTCCAAGTCAACTTTCATTCAGTCTCTGATGGTTGCCCTTTCTTACTGGACAACATCAATGTTCATGTGTTCTTAATTTCTTTCTCAGGGGTTAATTGGGAAACTTATTGGAAAAAGAAATGAAACCTTCTGCGGCATCTCACCTGTACCGTTTTCAACGATTTTGTCGGATGGGTCACGTTTATATTGAAACACCCGTCATTTATTAATGTGGCTACCCCCTCCAAGGACCCCTAATAACTAAATATTTTGGATCTATTTGTAAAGTCGGAAATAATACACGATGAGAACTGAAAGGGTTATAACTCATGTTGAAGCGTTTTCGGAATATTTAACACTAGACTTTATTGAACTACCGGGGGTATGCATTTACAAACTCTATGGTAAGTGAAATAAACATGACATAAGTCAGAGGCAGACTGTTAAAATTGTCATATTCTAATTGCCAGAAGGGAGGCAATGACTGAGAAAACTAATATGTTCACAACTTAAATTGCTTAAACATGAAGTGATACATTAATTGATAGTCAATAAAGAACGAAGAGATGATTTCAATTTCAGAGATTCATCTGAGATTTGAAATGTTCCTTTTTTTAATTTTTATTCCAAAACGCTTTTTAAATGTATTTATAGTATTACGCGGCGCCACGTTTCTCTTTCCTATTACCACAACCGGTTTAGAGTTTTAATTAAAATGAGAACTTGGATCCAGAACGATCATGCTGGTTCACCCTGAATTTCAAAGGGTATTGAACACCCGAGGCTGCTGCCTGTATTTGGTGTATTACCACCAGGATGGTTCCTGGTTGTTGAGTATGAAATTCATGGTGTTACACCCAGATCCGAGATGGAGATAGGAAAAAATGACCTCGCTCCAGAGATCTGTTTTCTGACTGGTTGGGATGGAGAGAGAGAGAGAGAGAGAGAGAGAGAGAGAATATTTGTTCCATTGCACGACTGTTAGGTTTCCGTTCTTCGTAGCCCAGAGCATACTGTCCACGCGATGGTTTCGTGTTAACTTGAGCTTCTAAACATCTTTTTTTGCCTTATATCCATGTTGAACGAGCCAGTAAGCAACCCTGTATAAAGAATTTGTTAGAGTAATCGAATCTTTAATATTTTAATTAGTTAAAACTGTTGGTAAAGATCTGTTTTGCCTTTGGGTCGTGCAAGGTTGAACGGTTTACCACCACTCTGTAAATATACATGTATATGTCTATTTAAATGTCGTTCTCTAAAGTTCCGAGGGCATGCGACAAAGATGGGCAAAAACTGCATATTAACACATCTATTCCAGAGTGACTGTTGAAGAAAAACCTGAAGTCCAGCGAAGGGAGAAACGCTCTTTGCCACCTCAAGCCCAATTCAACCAGAGCGGTTACAATAGAGTTGACGTCGTAAGGCATAAAAACAATTGCTGATCAGGCCCTATAATTGCAAATAACATGTATCATTGTTATTCTAGTTTACATATAAGCACATGTGCGCGTGCAGACACACCAATATGTTATCTCACGTTCTTGTCTTCTCTTAGTTTTTCCGTTTTGAATAGAATATTTTTACATGTGAAAAACATATTGTTTTTTTTTTCAGCATCAGTGTTTATCTTCAGTAGTCGACAAGAAAAAAATCAAAAACAAAAGCACAATTTTTGTGTTGTTACAAAACAGACTCAAAATTACTCAAAATAATAATAATAATATAATAATATATTTATTTCAAGTCTAAAATCCATAAAATGTTCAATAGACTGTACAACATAAAATACAAAGAGGTTTATAGATAAAAACAGTTAAGATATATTTTATATAAATAAGAGCTAAACTAACTTAATTGTAATAAACAGTAATTAAAAGTAAAAAATCCAAGGTTTCTTTAAAATTGTAAAATTTAAGATTCATGCATAAAATGTCTTAAAAATATGAGTTTTTAATTCATTTTTAAAAGATTCTTGTGATTCTATTTGTCTAATAAAAATTGGCAACTTATTCCACTCTACTGGTGCAGCTACACAAAATGATATGTCACCATACGATTTTAACCTTGATTTTGGAACTTTCAGTAAAAGTTTGTCACCAGACCTCAGGGATCTTTGAGGGCTATAATGTTTGACTAGATCAGTTATATATGGTGGAGCTAGATTATAAAAAGCAGCATGTGTAAAAACTAAAACCTTAAATAAAATTCTGGCCCTAACTGGTAACCAGTGCAGATGCTTTAAAATTGGAGTGATATGGCAATCCCTAGGCTGTAGCATTAAAAGCCGTGCTGAGATATTCTGGATGCGTTGTAATCTTTTGATCTTATCATCTGGACATCCATATAGTATAGAATTGCAATAGTCTAGCCTGGAAGTTACCAATGAGTGTATAACAGTAGCAGCAGATGATTGATTCAGATGTTTCCTTATGGTGCCAATATTCCGAATGTTGAATAAACAAGACCTTGTGATGTTGGAGATCTGTTTGTCCATTGAAAGTGTAGAATCAAAGTATACTCCTAAACTTTTTACATTTGGGGAGGAAAATGCCATACTAGCTCCAATTTTAAGTTGCAAGTTATGAGCTTTGGGCCCCAGCAGTTAAAACATTTATCTAGAAGCTAAGACCAACTTTCAGTATTAAATTACCTTCCTCCCGTTACTTACTCTGAGATTTCTCTTGAAACTGTAGAGACTGCAGATAATATAGATGCTGATAATGTGGAGGGGAGTTCTCAGTGATCTCTGAAACTAGGGTTCCTCGGTCTTGACTTCAGATCTATAAATGGCTGAAGACGATGGAGAGTTCGTGTGGCGGGAAATGCTCCGTGTTCAACTTAAGGTATAAATCCTCCAAAGGGCGAGCCCTACGTGCCATCAAGGTACGGTGATAAGCATATAATATTAACTTTTTTGGTATAGAGGGCGAATTCGGCATATTTAGCATACAGGGGGTTTGTTGATATATCATGCACAACTGTGACTTTTTAGATTAGGGTACAGATTGTCGTTCTTTAAATATACTTTAATTAGCAATTAGCATACTCCTTTTAAGGAAAATTGATCTTATTGGGTAAAAAGCATACGAGGACGAATTATTGGCGCCAAGTCTACCATGAAGTATACAGTAATGAGCATAAAATAGTTCTAGATTGGCGCGTTTCAGTTTCTGTCTAGTTCTTTCCAAATATGATTGTTATTCCGTTTGTATTGAAACGGTTATTCTTACATTTGCTGACAAGGCAATACGAGATAAAACAGCTGACAAGACAAAAAGAAAGGTTTGACAGTAAATTATCCTTTTTATAAAGACTAACCTATTGCATTTTACCCATGAATCACGGCATTGTGGTCAATGACCTTTGATGAAAGGTCAAAAAGTCAAGTCTCATAGATGAACATGTTTATATTCTTTCGATTATAACCTGCATTCCTATCATTTCCTATCATTCAAACTGGACATAAAAAGTTCTAGTATAATTTCAGATTGGAACCCTTAATCCCCAAATCAACAAACCAGCAATATGGATAGACGCTGGCTTGCACGCCAGGGAGTGGATTGGGATCTCCTCCGCTCTTTATTTCATAAACAAGGTACGCATTCATGGGACTGTTAGTACACGCTTTGTACGGTAATGGTTTCCGTAACAGAAACCTGCTCTTTACTTTTTACACTCTTCGGGTTTGGATGATTATTTTTACTCTGTTCAAAATTAATTATTGTTCTGCATCATTTTAAAATCTACCCCCTTATTTTCAAGCTGATCAGTGACTACGACCAGCCAGAGGTGAAGAACTTGGTGGACTCGTATGACTGGTATATTCTACCCGTGGTCAACCCTGACGGATATGAGTACTCCCACACCAACGTAAAAGAACTGTTATGATTTATATTATATAATTGCTAATTATAACAAACCAACAAAGCCGTCCAATGTACATACAAAAAGCAGAAAATAATAATGCACAAAATAGGATACTGTCAATTCTGATGCATTAATACATTATGCTTAGCTGCAAAGTCTACATCAAATTTTAATTATGCACAACAGATGGAGATAAGAGTTCATACTTTGAAAATGCCAGAATAAGAAAAAGTGAAAATATCAGAAAAAAATGCATAAATTCAATAAGAAACATTATAATCCAATAGAGCTGTTTTTTTTTTTTTTTTAATTTGAGTTGCACTATGTCAGTTGAGCATGATGTATTGTTGCATCAGAATTGACAGCATCCTATTTTGTGCAACATTATTTTCTGCTTTTTGTATGTACATTTGACAGCTTTGATGTCTTGCTATTTCTCGTTTTTCATAAAACGAAGTCATTTTACACGGTGATTTGTGATTTTCTACTCAAATTTTCAATGAGATGTGAATTAAGATTAATTTACTCTGGTTTGTGATTTGATTATTTTATTTAACTGTGAAGTGTGATCACTACCCCCCCCCCCCCCACACACACACACACACACAAAAAAGGACCTTCATTTAAACCTTTCAAGTTGACTCAATACCGGCCTTAAATGTGCTAACAAATTACTTCACTCGCACTGTTTTAGAATCGCACGTGGCGCAAGACACGTTCACAGCAGGATAATGGTTGCTACGGAGTCGATGCTAACAGGAACTTTAACTTTCACTGGAATGGTAGGAATACGGTTGCGCCAGAACACATACATACACTAATCGAGTTGCCACTCCTAGGGCCCAATGCTGGAACTCTGCAATGTCTTTTCTGTAGATTCTTTTTACCGATATGCATTCCTTATGGCAAGAGAAACAACATTAAGTTTGTCACAACTTCCGATACCTTTTTCAAAATGGACGCCGACTTGTGTGAGAAAATAGATAAACAGCCCAAGAACAGTTCTTTCAGAACAGCACAGCATTTCTGTTAAAAGATTACAGGTAAAGACATTGCAGGGTAAGCAGGCATGCTAGACTATGAAGCAAAATCTTTTTTTTTTCGGAATTTTTCAATATATTGGTGATTAGTTATACATTTAGAAACATGGTTTTGAAAATACTTTTCTGTGTAAAACAGTGCGTTACATTTTCGGAAATTTATATATTCCATTTTTCATAAATTATTGGGAACATTTATATTCAATGGACTCCCAAAAATCCAATGCATTTGGTGGAAAGCTGCTAGAGTTATGCAAAGATTGCAATTTAAGAATCTTAAATGGCCGTAAACTAGGTGATCTACTTGGCAAATATACTTGTTATCAACCAGCTGGTATCAGCGTTGTTGATTATGTCATCTGTAGTGCCACTTTGTACAGCACCATCCCATACTTTCACGTCAATGATCTGTCAATATTTTCTGACCACGCCCTACTTGAACTTAAACTGTACTGCAAAACTACTTACAACAAACATACAAAATCAATTCAGCTGATACCAAAGCCAACTAAATTCATTTGGGAAAATAATTCTCATATTAAATTTGTTGAGGCCCTGGGTAACATGGAAACAAAACAAAAGGTTGATTACTTTATGTCACAAGCTCTCTC